CGGCTCAGGTCATGATCCCAGGGTCCTGGGATCGAGCCCCGCATCGGGCTCCCTGCTCGGCGGGAAGCCTACTTCTCCCTCTCCCACTCCCCGTGCTTGTGTTCCCTCTCTCACTGTGTCTCTCTCTGTCAAATAAATAAATAAAATCTTAAAAAAAAAAAAAAAGAGGCTCCTGCTCTGAGGACAAGAGGGGGCCCTCCTCAACCAAGGTGAAAATGAGGGTCAGTAAGTACCTCTACGTCCCGCTTCAGTTTTTCCAGGAAGTTCTTTTTACTCTCCTCTCCCACATGCAGCTTCTGCCCTTCATTGAGGAAGTCGTTGTCTTTGAATGTTGGCAAGTCCTTGGCCTGGGAGAGCAACAGCAGCGTTAGGCTGGGTGGCCCAATACATTCACCCCAAGAGGTGACGGCACAAAAAGGGGAAGGGTCCTTAGAGCACAGAGGGTCGACCTGTCAAATCACCAGGCTCAGCGCAGGAGGCTGCAGTCCCAGCCTCGGGAGGCAGGGATGGTGACTGTGTGGCTTACGTCAACCAGGGAGGACAGACCAAAGCGTGTCTTCCTGCCGAGCCTGGACTACCTCGGGGCTCAGGAAGCCACGGCCCAACTGAGGCTGGCCCATGGACAGAAGTCGCCAGCCCTGCGGGACTGTGGGCAGCCGGCAAGGCGGAGAGCGCGGCCGAGGCCGAGGCCAGGCGGGTGCTCAGTGACACAGCCCGACAGAAGCGTAAGTGGGAACCAGGTAGGGGCTGTGGCGGAGGAAGGGCCAGGCCGACCGACAGAAGTTGACTCCAAGCGGCCCAGGCCACACTCCATCAGTCCGGGTCCCCGCATACCTTCTCCTTATCACTGGCTTCTCTGGCGACAGTAGAGCCCTGCAAGGATAGGAGCCGTCAGGGGAGGTCCAGCTGAGGCAAAGTCCGCTGAGCGAGAAAACATGCACCCGTCTCTGGGGAGAGGCAGCAGGTGAACTGAGGGAGGCTGTTTAGAACCCTCGAGGGGCCGGGAGGCAGCAACTTGCTCACGCCCTCTGTCACGGACACTGACAGAGCTCTGGGTAGACACGAGGCTCGCGCTCAGCCAACAGTACCAAGACTCAGTCCCTGCCCTGAGGGGACTTGCCTCCCGAGATGGGAGACAGGCTCTAACAAGCGGTTACATGATTAGCTAATCCGTTCATTACACCAGTGCCAGGTGGGACACGGGAGGAGGACACGCCGAGAGCAGGTGGCACAGGGGCAGCAGTCCAGGCCGGCTTCCTGCAGGAAGTGACATCCGAGCCGGGCAGGAAGTAACGGGGTGACGGAAGGCGAAGATGGACAAAAGAGCAGGGAGGGGAGAGGCCGGGCGGCCAAGAGAGGTGCTGGGGACTGGGCGGGAATGGAAAGGGCAGCACTGCGGCTGCAGCGGGGACAGACAGGGCTGTGAGGTGACGAGTCAGGAAGCCGGCTTCGAGAACAGCGGAGCACTGTGGCTCCCAGGCACAAGCGTGCTCCTTTCTGGGTCTAGAAATGTGTGTGTCCTGGACAGATGGCAGAGTGCGTGCGTCAGACAGCCGCCCCTGGAGCGCACATGCCCCCAACAGGAGCTGAAGAACACCCGACGGTGACACAAATACGGCACATTAAGTAACCTCTCGTCCCTGTCACCTGAACTTCCAACAGCCTCTGACCCAGAGGAATTAGGCACGTCAACTCCAGAGTGCTGACTGTGCCGAACCCTACGGCCTGGGGGCTTCCCGTCGTGTGGGAGCCTGAGGGAGGGCAGCCCCAGAACTGCGGGCCGCAGAGCCCTTTACCTTGAGGTCGTACTTGCGGTGGACAGTGAGCCGGTGGCTGAACACATTCCTGGTGACCACCATGTAGGTCTCGACGCCGTCCACGGTCAAGCGGTACATGCCCAGGAACTGCGGCAAAAGGGTGCTGCCGTGACACTCCACTATGAACTAGAGCCAAGGGAGGAAGGACGGGCGGCTGAGGAACGAATGAAGACGCCGGGACGGCCGGGGGAGCCCCCCCACCCCAGGCTCAAACGCTCCCGGGGAGTCGAGCCTCCAGGTCAGATGGGTCCTGTGAAGTCATGGGGCTTCCTTGGACTTCGAGAGGCCATGGCCCCCCCCAACCCCCAGCCGGCCGGGCAGAGGGAGAGGCCGGGCGGGCCGGGCAGGGCCCCGTTGGTCTCGTGTTACTGGGCCGCCCCTGAAACTGCCGTCTGAAGCAGAATCACTGAGGCAGGCCTGCGAGCGGGTTGTAGGGAAAGAGAGCGGCTCCCTCCTTGCCAGGAGTTCTTAGCCATGCGGCACCCGGGGGGTTCCGCTGTAGCCCGAGACCGGAAGTCCCTTTCACCACCTCCCGGTGCCCCAGAGAGAAGGCAGCATTCCCTGAAGGCCCAGGCACTAGGCCCGGCGCTCGGACGCCGCCACCGCACTCCCTGCTTCCCTCCAGGACGGCGTCCCGGGGCGCGGAGAGCCCGGACGGGAAAGGAAGCGACCCTGCCCAGACCACGGGACCTCTTCTGGAAGAAATGCGGCAGGTGCCAGAGGGGGCAACTTCCCGACTCTGACAAGAAACAGCTGTTCCACGGGGACTGAGTGGGCAACAAGCCTTCATTTCTCCTTTTTCCCTTTTTGCAACAGGCATTTGAGCTCTGCACCCGGCCCCGGGGAAGGCCAAGTGCTTGGCTCTCGGGAGGCGGGGGCTGCTGCGACAGGACCCATCCCTCCCCAGGAAGCCGCCCAGGGGCTCTCTCCTCCCTCCGGCCACCCGTCCTCTACCGCCCAGGCTCGGGACTCACCATACCTGGTGGTATTTCTTTAAGATGTTGTGCATCTCAGCCACATCCTCACTTGACACGGTCTTGATGACAAAGCGCCGGTCGTAGGTGGTGAGGAAGCGCGTGCCACAGCGGCCCTGGCTGTCGCTGTTGATGGGGGCGCTGCGCGTCACTGAGTTCTGAGGGACCAACACAAAAGCAGGCTGGTCTTGGGAGAGGAACAAGGGCTCTGACCTTTACTTGGGCCAACCACGCTGGGACAGGCGGGACCTGACCCACCCCTGGTGTCACGGGAAGTTCACTTCTCTCCCGCAGGTCTTCCTGGAGAGTGACGAGAGTTGCTACTGACCACCTGCTCCTAATCCCTGACCGGAGGGGCAGCGGGCCAGCTGCACAACGTTTCCTCTCCTTCTGACCCCTGAGAACTACCCTGTCCACGAAATCCCTGCCTTGGACGTTAGGGCTGGGCCCTGACCTGACGCCCACAGGTAACCTGACCTTGGGTGAGCCATTTCACTTCTCCACTCCTGAATTTCCTGACCTGGAACACAAGGAGGCAGTCCAAGATGCTTTTCCCAGTTTCCTGGGGTGACAAAGACAAAGCCTAGGGAATATTCAAGAAGTCCAGCATAAAGCAGCAATGGACAATCATCTCTTTTCCCTGGACATACCCCGGTGCTGGAAAACCCTTCCCACAGCAGGCAGGGGTTCCTCGCCTCTCTGCCCAGCCCCTCTCCCCTCACCTCAAACTCCTGCTTGTCTGTGCAGAGCTATGAGGCAGTTCTGGGGAGCTTTTCTGGCTCTGCCACTGCTCCTCCTCGAGGCCCCATTCCCATTAGGATCAGAGAGCAGTAGAAGCCTCTAGAGGGGGTGGAGGGGGAGGTGTGAGTCAACCAAAGGGATGTGTTCACCAAGCAGACACCGGGAGAAGACCTTTGAAAGGCAAGGCAGAGAGGAGGCCCCAGCTGTCCCCGTCCCCAAGCAGACACATGTGGGGGTCTGCTCGCAGAAATGCCTCCTCTCCAAGCCGCTTCCTCGGCTGCTATCTAGGATTCGATGCTCTGCCCTCACCCAGTGCCTCCTCACGAGACCCTGGGGGAAGGAGAGAGCGCCACCTTCACGGGGAAGACTCAAGTCTGAAGTGGTGAGTGCTCTCTAAATTAAAAGGGCACCCCCAAAACAAGGTGCCCCCAATCCAGAAATGTTGAGTAGGCTCCACAGCGGAGGGCCTCACTCCCCCAGCCTGGTTCTCCTTCCGGGAAGACGAGCAGGCCCCACGCTCCCATCCCTGCCTCGTTTCCAGGCAGTGTGCTCTGACCCTCTACACGGTTAGTCCCCTCCCTGAACACCACACATCGTGAGCACAATCACTTGCCCACAAGGTTATGAGAGAAAAAATGCAGACACATAGAGGATGTGGTTAGAACGCCGAGGGGAAGGGAAGGAGCCACAGCGGAAGGAAGGTGTCCGAGCAATCTGGGGCTGCAACAGTGGCAAGTTCTTAGAAAACCTCCAGCTCCAATCAGATCCTGATTTAGCTCAGGGTTTGGTCCTAACAGAGGGGGCTGGAGGCACCTCCCAGTACCTCTCAGGCACAGCCGTTCTGGAGCCTTCCGTCCCTGGCATCTCCTCCTCCGGCATCCCTGCACCCTCCTCTTGGGGATGGCATCTTTGCAGGCCGCCCTCCAGAGTGGACAGGAGAGGAGAGGGGCCTCACCCAGGTGCATCCTGCTCCTCAGGAACTACTCCATGAAAGGCTTACTAGGACCCGGCCTGGAGGGGTTACGGTATTTTAAAAGATTTGGACATCCATTTTAGATTTCACCAGGCTGTACGCTCCTTTTTCCCCCCCAGACAAACGCAAGTCAGCTGTATTTCTTCCTGCTAGCAAACTGAAGTGGAAAATTCTCCCACCATCACCAGCAGGCTGTCTGCCAGGGGCAGAAGGTCCACGGAAGGGGCTAGGTGGAGCAGTAACAGAAACCACAGACTAGGAGTCAGACTGTGATGTCCCTGAGACTGGGCCACAGGCGGCATTACCAGCCCTGGGAGGGGGCAGTCGCCGGCCATGCCGGCCCCCTTCCCGCAGCAGGCTGGATCATGGAGGTGGCGGCGCGCATACCTGCCAAGGTTACACTATCCTCCAAGTCTTCCTTTTCTACTCTGTCTTACCTGCTTTAAGAGGCCTCATCACCCGCTGGCAACAACTCGCTCTTTTAAGTCAAACTACGGAGGAGACGAGTTCTTGGGCCTAGACTGGGAATGTCAGACTGAGATGAAGCAGCTTCCGCAGCCCCTCTCCCTCCCAGGGAGAGGAGCCTGAGTCTGCCTGCAGCTTCAGAAGCACTTAGCACTCCTAGGGCCCCGAGCTCTAGGAGCCTGCTGGCACCCTGGGAGAGACCACCCGGCTGGAGCAGGACAGGACAGGAAGACAGAGCTCGAGAACGGGAGACCTTCCTCTCCATGTCTCCTGTGGCCTCCTAACCCCACTCCACTCCCTGACCCCTCCTACTCTGCAAAGACACCCCGTACCTGGTAATCCTGATCATCAATCCCAAACCTCTCCCGGAGATTCCGGAACACCATGGGGCAGTACTCCTTAAACTTGAAGCGGCTGGGGAGGTTCTCCCTAGGGCAAAGCAGAGAAATGTCTTCGTGAGCCCTTCCTTGCCCATCTGTCTAATTCTTCATCAGAACTTCCCTGGGTTTGTGCCACAGGTCACCGGGACCTGAACAATCTGTGGCGCTCAGAATGTAGGTTTCTAGGCCCCAGGAATTCTGGAGAGGAGTCTGGAGTATTTAACAAACAGTCCTGGTGATGCTGAGCGTGTAAGAGTTTTAAAACTTTACATCGCCGTGTTCACCTTGTAAAAATGAGTCGAGCTGTATCCTTACAATTTGTGTACTTTTTCTGAGTGTATGTTCTCTTTTGACAAAATTTACACGAAAGGGGAAAGCCTCACGTGCCGAGAAGCGAGCCGGAGCGTCGGCCACACTGCACAAGGGCTGTGCTTGCACACGGGAGTGACTGCGTGTGCATGGGTGGTGTGAGGCGGCCGGCAGGCTGACGTTTGCTAAAAGGAGCGGCCTTTCTCAACCAAGGCACCCTCTCCTCTGAGGACGCTTCTACCAACACGTCCTGAAGATGGCCACATCCGGGAAGCCCTGGGCTTCCCCGGGGATGGAGGACGAGGGTGCTTTGGATTGAAGAGGTCCTCCGTCAGCTGACCGGATCCCATCTTTTCGGGAAGCCTTGTCTGTGGGCTGCTAGTACCAATCTCCACCCTCCCCACTCCCTGGTCAATAAGCCACAGACTCCCAGGAGGGGACAGAGTCGCCGTGAAGGGAGGCCATCTCCACATCCTCCATCTTTACAATGGTCCCCTTGCTTGGGAACTCCCTTTGAGAAATCCGTGCCCCTGACTACACTCCAGGATGACACACTTTGAGGAAATAAACAGCAGTGGCTTCTCCTGCAGGCAGGGGCCTCCTCTGCCTCCTGTCCCCTTCTTCTAGTAAAAGGCACCACAGCACATCAACAGTTATTGAAAGGACAAAAGGAATAAAGAAAGATAAAGGAAGAGATTGGATGCTCTGCTTTAGGCCAAGATGTCAAGGTGGTGGAACTTCACCAGAGGCCATGGACCCTGAATTAGGCGGTGGTGCGATGCCCCCTTCCAGAGCCCTGAGCCCTGGGACAGAGCCATCTCCTTGCCTGCCACAGGGCCAAGGGCTGCTTCTCCCTCCTTACGGGGTGTGATATTGTGACATATTTGGTCTTTGTTCCTGTTTCAGGCACAGAGCAACTAAAACCCTTGGAATTTCTGAAATCATAAGAACAATAAATATGTCTTTTTTTTAAATTCATAACAAGCCCCTTTCAACCACATCTGAGTTTATGTTAATAAGGTGACTTTTGGAAGGGTGGGGGGGCGCCTGGGTGGCTCAGTCGGTTAAGCATCCACCTCTTGATCTCAGCTCAGGTCTTGATCTCAGAGGTCGTAAGTCCAAGCCCCATGCTGGACTTCACACTGGGCATGGAGCCTACTTAAAAAAAAAAAAAAGTGACTTTTGGAAAGCCTCAAAGGATGGGTTGCTGGTTGCCAGGGGAACCAACCAGGATGAGAGGGTTGGAACGTTCAGTCCCACTCCCCTGACCTGCAGGGAGGGGAGAGGGGCTGGAGATTGAACCCATCACCAATTGCCAATGATTCATCAATCATGCCTTTGCAATGAAGGTGGGACTCAGGAGCTTCCAGGCTGTTGAACAGGTGCAGGTGTGGGGAGGGTGGTGCACCCGGACAGGTCGTTCCTGAGTTGTATCCTTTATAATAAACCAGTAAGCAAGTAAATAAACTATTTTCCCAAGTTCTGTGAGCCGCTCTAGCAAATTAACCAAACCCAAGGGGGAGGGTCGTGGGAATGTGGGACCCACAGCAGGCTGGTCACGAACACAGGTGACGACCTAGACTTGCGACTGGCACCTGAAGGCAGGGGGGCAGCTTCGTGGGACGGAACCTGGGGGGCCCGATGCTACGTCCAGGTAGACAGTGTCAGCTGCGCTGGCAGGACACCCCGCTGTCCCACAGAACTGCCCCACGTGTGGAAAACCCAGGGAAGTGCAATGTGGTAGTGGTGTGAGAGCAGAGCAGAAACACAGGAGTTTTTCTTCTACACGGTGGCTGCTTAGCTCTGAAGACAGATGGCTTCTCGAATAAAGTGTTGTTATTACATACTGTGGCTGAGAGAGGCCACTAAGGGATATTTTCAAACCAAGCTTCCCCTCCAGGCTAACAGTCTGGTAATGGTGGGGCGACAGAGGCCAGCTGGAGGAGGGGTGCCAGGGACCGTGGGGCCCCGGGATGCGAGCGCAGAAAGGAGGATGTGGGCAGCAAGCGCTTCCCGGGGCGGCCCACGGTGGGCTGAAAAAGCAAGGCCTCCCAAGGGCTTAGGGCAGGCCCCACCCTGCACCAGGCAAAACGGCTGCTTCAACCCTTCAGACGCCAGCGTTAGTCCCAGAAGCCGCAATGAACAAAAGGGGGAGCAATTACTTCGGATGGCGCCCTTGGGCACCATGCTCAGCCTGCGGCTCACACGCCCGTCGGGAGACAGAAGAGCTGCATCCCGGGCCAGGAACATGTCTGGTAGCTTCTCTGCTACCTAACCTGGCCCCAGATGAATCACCCTGGGCCGGGCCACACGCCCCGAGGGACCCTGGAGGTAGGCAGATAAAGGAGATGACAGAATGACACAAAGGGGAGAGGCACATAATGAATGCATTTTCCCGGCCAGTCTGTCAGCTGGGAGATCCAGGTGTCACTGTCACACCCTGCCAGGTGCCGACCACTGCCATGCGCGAGTTTTCAGAAGCTCTCCGCCTTGAGGGAAAGGACTGCCCACAAAACCTGAGCCCACTCAGGAGGCCACTTACTTATTGAAGAGATGATTGTCCACCTTGATCTTGCTGTATGCTTTGAAGTCATCTGGCATTAGCATGACAGGCACAGGGACATTGCTCAGCTCATTGATCTGCAAAGCAAGGGGAAAGTAAGGTTCTCGGCCGGTAGGCCACCAGCCTCAGAGACACAAGACGCTACAACATGAATGCCACCATCTCACCAAAAAAAGCATGTCCGCGGATTCCCTCCTTGTCTCTTTCTGCTCTTCTCTTCCAAGAAGTTCCCAACCTCATCTCCACCTATTGAAATTCTCCCAACCTGATAAATTCCAGCTCAAAAAGCACCTACTCCATGAAGCTTTCCATGATTCTCTAGGTCATAAATGTTCTCTCTCACTCTGGAATTTCTGAAGTAGTGTTTGTATCCATCCTTTGGCCATCACACAACCTCCCTCACATTGTAGTTAATGCTTATCAACCTCACAAGCTTGCTAGACTATAAGTGAGGCAAGATAGTATTACTGATCCTTGTAAGCAAAGGTCATCTAACTGATCTCTGGAGGCTCCACAGTGCTTGGCCCCATGATTTGCATATGGCAGGTACTATATAAATATTTGTCAAATGTAGCAATAGGTGGATCAATGAATAAACATCACACAACCTATGTGGGTCCTGAGGCCTTTAACGTTTTCATACAAATTGCTGGGTCACTCAAGATGTTGGGTTGGGGTAGGAAAAAAAGCTGGATGAGTTTGTGTGGGTGTATAACTCATCTCCAAAGTAAAGAATTAAATTTAAAGCAAGAAGAAGAGGTAGGCATCTGGCCACTGGCTCACTCTTCCCCTCCTGATTAAAACAGGGCCAGCTCCTCAAGCCATGTCCTGCCTTAGGCTGAACTGGACGAGACGGGGTAGGGTGCCTTGCCCCCACTGCAAACAAACCTTCCCATTGGCTTTCATCCCCCTTCAGGGAGCTGGAGGCTGACAGGGGGCTGGCTTCCCATTGGCACCAAGCTGAGAGCGAGCATCCTGCCCTTCCCTGTCCCCAGCTTAGCCAATTAGTGGTCTAATTAGCCACAGATGTCCTCTCCCTTCACAGTGGAGTATTTGACATTTGACCCTCAACCCAGTGGCCACTAATGCATTCAGGATTTACAGAGGAAACCCTAGGTTCTGCCTTAATGGATAGGGGGGAGGGGACGCACAGCCTTCTGTCTCCCAGAGACTTTCCTTGCAAATCCTATTATCTCAATGAGGCCCATGTGGTAGTGAGGGAATAACCGAGACTCATTAGGAGCATAAATGGGGGGAAACAGCATTCAATTTGCCGCCCCTTTCATGCTCCAAACCTTTTTTATGTAGAAATGTCAGAGGGTGGAATAAGTTCGAGTTAATGCAGTATCTGGGCTGGGGAACCACACTTTTCCTAGAATTGGTGAGAAAACTAATTTGCTCCCATGGAGATGAAGGCAGATACAGGCGCGTATATGTCTGGGGAGGGGGGCGGAAGGGTATCAGCAAAGTTGGCAGTGCGGCAGGGACTCAACAAACTGCTGGCAGAAACTGACGGGCATAGACACCAGAGTATATCCTGCATGAGTCCATTTATATGAAATCCTAGAACAGGAATCTACGGTGAGAGCAATCCAGTAAGAAGCTGCCTGGGTTGGCTGAGGGAAGTTGATTGTAAAGGAACACGAGAGGCATGATTCTGGGGTGACAGAAGTGTTCTATGTATTGTTTGGGGTGATAATTACGTGACCAAATATACATTTGTTGAAACTCATCAAACTGGACACTGAAAATCCCCAGCACCCAGGTCTGTGATACCCCCCACACTGGCTTACCAGCCACATGACAAAAGCCACACCAACTCCCATCCAGGGGGTGCTCACAGGGAACCTGATTGTGAAGTGCGTGCCTATGGAGGAAACCATTCCACTTCCTGGTCTTCCTGCCAACAGAAACAATTCATGGGAGCTGTCCCACTTCCTTTTTCCTGGCATGTATTGCTTGGCTCGGACAGTTGAAGAAGTTAAGACGTTCACGGCTCTTGTGTCATCCCACCTTGCCTAGTTCACACCTCCACACCAGAAAGAACACACCGCACTGGCTCAGAGAGCATGGTTTTATACCAGAATGTTCTAGGACGTACTACTCATTGATTCTGCGTTAGTCTCAAATCCAGATTTGGTGCCAAGACCAAGGCACCAAATGCTGGGATGACTAGGAAAGACTGAAGCCCTTGCCTGACAGGGTCAGCTATGCTGGGCTAGGGTGAATTTTTCTAACGGCAGCTATTCAAGAATGCGCTATTTGTTAATTCTCTGTAACTTCTGGTTCAGCCTACTTCGAATGGTTATAAGTTGGCAGGTTTTTAGTTCTCCCTTCATCTCTCTTCTTGACTACACAACCCAATAGCAGGAAATTTCTGAGAGAATCCATATATATGAACTCTGTAGGCTCACCCCTCATTTCCACTGGGCCCCATGTAGATGATTCACTCTAGGGATTAGCTGTACTAATTTTTTAGTTGTGCTAAATTTTATAGCCCCAGAGAGTTCTATTCAATTTCAATTGAACAAGCACTTACTAAGATATCTACTACACGCCGTACTTCATGTTAGGGAGGAGGGGGTGCACGAGGGGCGGGGGAAGTGCACACTGTGCACACAAGAGGAGGAGGCTTATTCTCTTATCGGGGAGATGAGACAAACCCATGACACAGAGAAACTCAAAGTCAAGTGGTATACACGTAGTGCGAACACAGGGACAGAGACATCAAGAACAGCAGAGGCTCGAAGGGTGCGGTTAATACGGTCACAAAGACTCCTGGCCCTCACACATCAGGCCAGAAACAGGGCACCTCATGCCTCTCCTGGTATTGCCAAGAGCACTTGACACTGGAAGAATCTACAACAAGATCATGTTACACCTCCACTTAAGATGAACCTCAGGGTAAAGTTTTACCTCCTTAGCCTGGAATTGAAGGCCTTTCCTGACCTGGCTCAGGCGCTGCCAAATTCCTAATCAGTTTACTTCTACCCAGTGTATTGAGGGCCTTACTGTTAAGCCAGGACGGTGCCAGAGCTGGGGATGCAAAAATGAGAAGACATGGGCTCTGTCCAGCTGGGAAAACAGACAGCAAAGAATACAATTTGATGAGTGCTATGGAGTTATAAATAAAAGGGAGGGGGGACAGATGAAGAAACTGGTGCTGCCTGGGGGTGGGAGTCAGAGAGCCGCTTGCCAGAGGAAGCTGAAGAGAAATAAATACATGTCAGAAAGGCCTAGGATCGGGGTGCGGTGGCTCAGTCATTAAGCGTCTGCCTTCGGCTCAGGTCATGATCCCAGGGTCCTGGGATCGAGTCCCGCATCGGGCTCCCTGCTCAGTGGGGAGCCTGCTTCTCCCCCTGCCTGCTGCTCCCCCTGCTTGTGCTCTCTCTCGCTCTGACAAACAAGTAAGATCTTTAAAAAAAAAAAAAAAGTTTTGAAGCATGAAAGGTCATGACTAAAGCAATGTTCTAGGAAGATGTGCCTGTCCTCGACTATCTAGCACAATCCTGGGCCGACCCCTCTTCCCTTCAGCACAAGTGCACTTGTGGAATGCATATTCATTCAAGTATCACACTAAATACAACATATTCGTATGGGAAATCTGTTGTATCTCACGTCACGTAAATGGTTTTTGGATTAACCACACGATTAACTCCAGGAGCCATCAGCATAAATAATAAGGAGGCTACACAAGCTGAGTGAGAAATTTAGGAGCAGAGAATTCACTCTGTGCTGATCCTACTGGAGATGAAAATTCAGCCACTAGTTCTAGTCTGCTGAACTCTGATTCCAGAAGCCTCTACTTCCCTGTGTGACCTTCCTAGGAACCCAGGAGGCGTGGGCAGGGCATTCAGGTTTCCTGACTTGTCCTGCGGTTCTGTGGGTGGCACAGCAGTCGATGGCCAGCACTGACAACCAGGTGGTACCTGCCGCCATCAGAAAACATGGTGTTGAAAAACCCCAAGACCGAGGAAGTCCAAGTAACACCTCAGACTAGGGAGGAAAAGGGCAAGAACAGAGCCACAGGTGCCAACAAATTCACTCCTACGTTTATCCCTCCTTTTTCACACCATCGTCTTTCTTCTCTTCCTGTTCTCCGTGAGGTGGAAAGGCCTGGCCGAGGGCAAATTTATCCAAAGGCCCCACTAGACCAGGAATACTTACTAAAGAGTTGTAAAGTCACAGAGCAAGAGAAAAAGGCAGGTAAAAGAGGTTCTGGGTCTGCATTAAGCAAAGAAAATGCATGGACAGCATGGGGGTGGAGTGTGGGAGAGAATTGAGCAGACTTAAGAATGAATCTGTTCTTTATACCATACACAAAAATTAATTCAAAATGGATTACAGACCTAAATGTAAGAGCTAAAACTATAAGAGTTTGGGGACACCTGGGTGGCTCAGTCAGTTAAGCATCTGCCTTTGGCTCAGGTCATGATCTCAGGGTCCTGGGATCGAGCCCCATGTCAGGCTCCCTGCCTTGCAGGGAGTGTGCTCCTCCCTTTCCCTCTGCCCCTCCCCCCATCATTCTCTCACTCTCTCTCCATAAATAAATAAAATCTTAAAAAAAAAAACAACTATGACAGTTTTTCTTAGAATAAAAAATAGGGGTAAATTTTCATGACCTTGTGTGAGGCAAAGCCGTCTTAGAAATGACACCAAAAGTGCAAGCAAACAAAGAAAATACATAAATTGTACTTTATCAAAATTAAAAACCTGAGCTTCAAAAGATACCATGAAGAAAGTGTAAATGATAATCCAAAGAATGGGAGAAAATACTTGCAAATCATATATCTGATAAGGGACTTGTACCTAAAATATATAAAGAACTCTTGGGTGGCTGGGTGGCTCAGATGGTTAAGCGTCTGCCTTGGGCTCAGGTCATGATCCCAGGGTCCTGGAATCGAGTCCTGCATCAGGCTCCCCACTGAGTGGGGAGCCTGCTTCTCCCTCTGCCTCTCTATCTCTGTCTCTTATGAATAAATAAATAAAATCTTAAAAAAAAAAAAAAAAGAACTCTCATAATTCAAGGGGTACCTGGGTGGCTCAGTCTGTTAAGTGTCTGCCTTCAGCTCAGGTCATGTCTCAGGGTCCCGGGATCAAGCTCCCTGTCTCCCTGCTCAGCAAGGAGTCTGCTTCTCCCTCTCCTTCTCCCTCTCTTTCTCCCTGTGCCCTCCACGCCCCCATCTCATGCTCACACGCTCTCTCTCTCTCTCTCGAAAAAAAAGAACTCTTATAACTCAATAATGAACAGACAACCCAATTAAAAATGGACAAAAATGTTTTTAAAAAATGGACGAAGATCTTAACAGACATTTCTCTGATGAAAATATATAAATGGCCCAGGCGCCTGGGTGGCTCAGTCAGTTGAGCATCTGCCTTCAGCTCAGGTCATGATCCCAGAGTGCTGGGATTGAGCCCCATGTCCGGCTCCCTATTCAGCAGGAAGCCTGCTTCTCCTTCTCCCTCTGCCCTTCCTTCTGCTTATGCTCTTGCTCTCTCTGTCAAATAAATAAACAAATAAAATCTTAAAAAAAAGAAAATATATAAATAGCCAATAAGCACATGAAAAGATACTCAACACCATTAGCTATCAAGGAAACACAAATCATAATCACAATGACGTAACACTTCGCACCCACCACGGTGGCAATGATAAAAAAGATGGATAATTGCAAGTGTTGACAAGGATGTGGAAAAATTGGAACCCCCCACACCCTGCTGGTGAAATGTACAATGGTGTAGTCACTTTGAAGAGCAGTCTAGCAGGTTCCTATGTGGTTAAATATACTTACCGCCAACTGCTCCTAATCCTTGTGATCACCTGAGTGAGGCTTCACGCATACCTGGTTCCTAAAATGGCCAATAGGTCATCAAGCCAGGTCTGCCTCCTCTGGTCTCCACGCCCCTCTCCAAGGCAATCTTCTCTACCTCCAAACTGTATTTCATCCACGAAAATACTGGTGTTCTCTCTTTACTAGTTTTCCCCTGACAGATCTGAAGTCTTCTTTTTTTTAAGTTTTATTTGTTTAAGTACGCTCTACACCCAACGTGGGACTCAAACTCACGACCCCGAGATCAAGAGTCACATGCTCCACCGACTGAGCCAGCCGGGTGCCCCAGATCCAAAGTCTTCTGTCTTTTTTCCCTGCAGTCTCTCTCCAAAGTCCATGGGCTGCATCTCCTGTCTCCGAGAGGAGCTCCTGTGACAACACCAAGCTCAAAAACCTCTCTTTTTCCAACTGGAAGTAAATCAACCACCTCAGGAGAGAGTTCCTGACTTCTGCTCTCCATAAAGGCATATCCACCCACCATCAGCCATAGACTATCATGCCCTAAATGCCTAAATGGGTGAGAAACTAAAGATTCAAAGAAATGTGATCTCTGAAGCCTCACATCGCCAAAACTGGCACAAGTGGGCTTCTGAAGGAAGGCAACCTCCCAGAAAGGCTAGCAATCCACCAAGAACTATGTGGTCCTGACCCCCTAGAGAACTGCAAGATTTTATACCACTCTTCTTCTGGGGAGATGCCTCCATTTCCCAGATGGGGGATCCTAAAGGACCAGACCTTACCGCAGGCCCCAATGAAGCACGAACCCTTGGGGCCAACTGAGCTGCGCCGCTTGCCCTGTCCAGGGACCAGTGCCAGTGCCTGTCCCCTGAGGCACCTGCTCATTACGCCCAGAACTGTGGGTCTTGCTTAACGTCAACGCCTTTCCAGCTAGCCCTCAAACTTTTCTTCAAGTTGGCAAAGAAAGAGGGTGACTGCCTAGTCCAAGAAAGTAAGACTCACAGATGCCTATCCATCTACCATGCATAGGCCCACATCTGGGCAGACTCACTGCCCGCCTACCAGAACACCCAACATCACACACACTCCCGGGAGCTGGCACGCACGGGCACACACCTGAGCGTGCATTCAGGTTCTCTAACAAGACCATCATCCCCACCTATCCTGGCCCTTGGCTGAGAAACGGACTAAGGAAGAGGAGGCACAGAAAGCAAGACCTGCCATTCGAGACCACCACTGAATAACACAGCCCGTGGTGCCTGACAATGAGCTGCATCTTCTGCTGTGGCCATGGGTGAGCTAATCCTCCAGCTGGGCCTCCATGTCTTTGTGTATAAAATAAGGGACCCAAGGTAGTTAGCAGCAATATTCCAAGTAGGAGCTCTAAGAACCTCCACCAATGCTGTATATAGACAGGATGCTTTCTAGTGAGAAGCAGGCTGTAGGACAAAATCAAGGACTGACTTCCAGGCAGGGACACAAGGTCCACATTTTGATGACCCAGTTTCCCTTGCAATGTTGTCAGATGACCCCTGAGGCAGCAGGAAGCAGGAGAAGCAAAGTCTGCTGGACTACAGGCCCCAAGCAGCTTCCAGGGGTCTGGGCATTAAACCAGCGCTACTCCCTACCCTGGCCAGGACCATCACCTGAGGGAGGTTACTGAAAACAGTAACCTGCCCAAGACCAAAACACCAACAAAGACCTCACCATACTCATGCACTTTTCTGTATCAGATGTAAAGATCCAGAACCCTGGCTCAGACTATGGTTCATCAATCTCCAGCCAAAGGTTCCTCTACCAAAGCAAAGCAAAAAGTCTTGCTGGTCCCAGGCCCCGTTGTCATCATTTGATTTTGTGGGCAATTTCAAATGCTCTGAAAAGTAAGGGTGCCTAAAGAACTGAAATTCACAGGAAACCCAAGCCAATAGTTTCATCTTCCTCATTCCAAACTTGTAGTTGGTGAAGTTGGGTGTTTCAGGTCCTTTTACTTCCTCTGCTCCTTCCTGGTGTAGGGACTCACAGTGCAAATGGTCAGAAGGCAAGGAGCAAGTGGTTGGAAAAGAAAAAAGAAAGACCCTAAACAAACAGGGCGCAACCAAAGTCCTCCAGCTCAAGCACGAATCCTGGGCTCCAACTTCCTGATAGGACAATCTCAAAGCACCCCAAGTGTCCAGGGGACTGCCCTCTCATCCTAACCACCCACCACTATCACAGCCGTCATGACGGTACAACAGAAAGCCCAATAAAAGAGAAGTCAATGTCTTTGACATGAACACCATAGGAGAATGCAGGAAGACACATTATTTCTACTACGAATAGTCTTCCTTATAACCAGGCCTCACCTTCTCTCAAATGGTTACATTCTCTCTTCTCCCTAACCCAGGAAGACCCTGGTAAAGTGTCTGTGGTTCAAGGAAGCCTGTGCTTCTCCAGTTGATACATCTTGTTCAAGGAGAAAAAAAGGAAACCCAGGGAGAATTTCCATAGTCAGGGGTGAGGAGGTCTGGAGGATGGGAAACTTTAAGCAGTCGCACCAACCAAATAAACAGAAATAGAGGAATATTCAGGCAGGCCAATGCCACTTGCCCTGTCAACTGGACAGGGAGCTGGCAGCCGGTTGAAGGAACAAGGGGGTAAACACATGCAACAAACAGGGTGAGGGGATGAAAGCGATTCCGCGGCACCCGGGCCTTCCCCCTGCCCTCCAGGGACTGCCCTAAGCGAGCAAGCCAGACACTGGAAGCTAGAGGGGCTGGAGGGGAGGGAGGGGGCGACGGCATACCACCGTCGGAGACACCAGGCCTCGCGTGGCGCGCGGGGAGTGCACACCCGGCCGGGACTGCGTGCAAGGGTGGGGTGGGCGTGCAAGTGGCTTGGCGAGGGGCTGCGGGCGTCCCCGGCAGGGCCCGCGGGGCGAGGGCCGGGCCTGCGGGGGGGCGTGGGAGCGCACGGGGCGGCGCTCGGAGGGGCGCGCGCGGGGGAGCTGGTTACCGTGTGGTTCACCCCCCACATCAGGACGCTGAGGATCGGCTCGCTGGCCCGGAATAGCTTCACTTTCTGGCACACGAAATGCTTCTTCTTGGTCTTGGTCTTGCTGGCGCTGAGCGGCGCCACCGCCACCGCCGTGGTGCTGGTGCAGTTGGACGACATGCCCGGGGCGGCGGCGGCGGCGGCGGCGGCGAAAGCGGGGGCGGCCGAGACGGCGCACAAGCCAGCGGCCCCAGGCCTCCCCGGGACCGATCCCC